GGGGGGGGGGGGAGGGGCGCCCGCATGTGTGCGTGTCTTCACCTGTACGCGTTTGTGAAACGTGAGGCACGCAGGGCAGGAGGGGCACGCGTCGATCTGAGGGGGTGCGCCTGATGGGTGCGAATTGGCCTGCGGTGGCCAATGCAATGTCCTCCGGTCAAACTCCAGTTGACGCGCCCCGGGCAGCATTCATCACAAGCAGGGGTTGGGGATAAATGCGCATTCTTTGCGTTGGCAACACCCTGTGTGCCCTCCGTCACCTGCGGATGTCATCTCCGCGCCCCACGCCACCCTTTACCCCTTACCGCGCCCCTCACCCAAGAGTTCCCGGCACCCCAATTCCCAGACCTAGACCAAGAGCAACCCCCCCCCCAAAAGAAACCCCAACTATTCCAGCAAGCCCCCGACCCTACCCGCACCTCAAGTATCCCCTCGCACCCTAACCCTCCACCCCATGACCCCGAACCCGCATCCCAAATTCCCCGCCCCCGCCCCCGCCAGGTGCACAAGATGGTCATGAGCATCGGATGGAACCCCTTCTTTGGCAATACAGAGAAGACGGCAGAGCCCTGGCTGCTCGCTGAGTTTGACGAGGTGAGGACGGCAGGAGGGGGGAGGGTTGTGCGCTCGGGGTCCACGAGGTGAACATGAGAGAGCGAGGATTATTTGCTTTGCAACTGGGTGACAAGAAGGGGGAGGGAAGGTCGAGAGCTTGGGCCCAGACGGCGAAAATCAACTGTGCGGTTGCAGAGGGCGCCGGGCCAGTGGGGGCGCGTTTGCATAGCAGTGAAGGCAGAGGGGTGGCTGGGGGTCTGCGTGCGCGCAGCAACATTTGGCGTGCGAGGTGAAAGTGTCACCCAAGTTGAAGACTGAGCAAGCGGCGAGGGGCCGGAACGCGCGGCCGGGCGTGCGCAACGCCACCGCCACGATCGGGGCCGACTGGCGCGTACCGGCCACACGCGTGTGTGCAGTGGCGAGGCAGACCCCAACGCTTGACCCATCTGACGGCCCCAGCCGCGCCGCCTCCTTTCTGCCTGACACATCTGTGGCCGCCTCTGCAAAATTCTGGCTCTGACACACCCAAACGTACATGTGTATGCCCATGCGCCCTGCGAACAAACAAACCATCCAGCCGTTTTACGGTCAGGAGATCCGGCTGGTGGTGTGCGGCTACGTGCGGCCAGAGGCGAGCTTCCGATTTTGGGGGGAGCAGGCCAGGAATCGTGCCGCACGAAAGCCGCACGCGTGCTCCTGTGTGGCTGGCTCGGCAAGTCGGCTTGAGAGCGCGTCCGATGTGCCGCACTGCGTGGCACGCCCTCGCACCGCCCTTACCCACTGCCTATTATTCAAGCACCTTCAACACGAGCCACATCATCTCAAACCTGAAACATCGACCTCCAACCGTACCAAACCGCGCGCGCGCACACACACACACACACACACACACACACACACACACACACACACACACACACACACACACACACACAT